TGCTCCAGTCATCCAGAATGATCAGAGTAACCCCACATGTAAATGTGACCTTCTCCCTGCCTCACAGAGCCACTGTGTCTGGGGCTGACTGTCACAGAAACACTTCCTTTCATTTGATTTGGGTTTCTAGCTCTTGAAAACAAGCAAGAAATATGAAATTTCTCCTTCTTCTTCTCCATTCAAACCATTTTATTCCTTCTGGCTTTCTTTGAGATAATGTTCTGTGAACTTGTTTGTGAGAGAAGAACTGCTGGTGTGGTCTGAAATGTAAAGTGGCACTTATGTAAGAGCTAGAAACCCAGAGTGATCTAATTATGTGCAAATGCAACTTTTTCTTCTTTTCTTTTTTTTTTTTTTTTTTTTTTTTTTTTTTTTTTTCTTTTTAGAAATTATGCTAATACTGTTTTGTAAGCTTTATGGTAAATAATTGTATTCTTGGTATGTTGGTCTGCAACATACTCCTAGTAGAGAGTTAATAAAAATCTGAATTAAAAAGCATATGTGCATGTAATTTTTAAACAGTTCTTAATATGAATCATTGACTCATAAAGAATGGTGGCTGTAGTTAGTATACTGAATATTCTGGTGCTTAATTAATTTGATTTTAAGTTTCCAGTTTATTCGTTTGTTATAGCATTTAAAAACATCTTGGCTTACTTCTCATTTTCCTTAATGGAACTAAGTTGTTGGGCTGTGAGCTGCATTACTTTCTTAACAGCATATTTAATATGATTCTGTTATCCCTGGCTGGTCAAATTGGCACATCCTTGAAATAAAATGAAATGTAATTCATTATTGTATTCACTATTGGAATTTTTCCCAACTATTTCTGGAAGGAGTGTAAATCCAGAGATTAGGAGAGGAACATTAATCACATTATTTCATTATTGTTTTTTCTTAATTCATCAGAGAATTAACAGTAAGAGACCAAAATTGCAAATATTGCAGCTGCATAAAATGGATTCATTCAATAATGTTTAAGTAACTCTGATGGTAAATGGGTCACTTTTTCCCCTGGTTCCCAGGTATTTGGAAAATCAAAACCCAGGAAACAAGAAAACATAAGCTGAGCTAAAAAATAGTCCAGCATCTGTGTTATGATGTTAAAATTGTTGTTTCTTCTCTCTTTTTGTTTATTTCCACCACCTCCCATAAATTACAAACAGCACCTTTTAAGCATCTCAACATTTTGTATGGGATATGGATGGATCTGTGTTGTACTCTGAATTATATTATGGTTCTTGAAAATTTCTGGGCCACTCACATGACTAGCACAGGTGGTTAGTAATGGAATTATTTTAAAAATCTAAAAAAAACTGAGTAAGGGAAAATTACAAAAGTTGTTGAAGAAACCACAAACAATGATTGCAGTAGTAATATTTTTCAGACTGATAATTTACTTCTTAGATGCTACTTAGTTTTGAATTTTAACCATATACTATGGGCTAGTTTTTCACAAAGGAAAAAGTAAAAATACTTTTGGCAATGAACAATCAGCAAGTTATCTGTAAAAATGAAAGGCCTGAGCACCTTCTGGTTTACAGAAATCAAGTGTTATTCTGATATCCATGTGATCTGGCTGTACTTGGTCAATTTCTTCCTGCAGCCTGTCTTGGGGCTTTTTTTAAATATATGATGAAGTTTAAATTAGTCCTTAAACACTTATAAAAGACTGTATTGTGCATATATAAACATAAATTAATGTATAAGGATAACAAATATTTCTACAGTGCAAATTTTACAAAAATCACCCATCACACTTTTAACCAATTGATTGGATTATGAAGGAGAAAAACATCAATTAAAAATAAAGAAGTTACAGAGTATAAGATGCAACCCATAAGAAGCCCAAAACATAGTATGTCGCATTCCGATACCAAATGTTTCTGTGTCATTTGAGGACAGATCATGAAAACTTTCTTTTCCTTCTTTCTTTGCAGAACAATAGATGGTAGTGTTAAACTTGCAGATGAGTTCTATGCTTATAAATCATGGCATTTTTAGTCTCATACTTCAGTCTGTTAGGGAGCTGATATAGTAGTGTCATATGTGGTCAAGGATACTTGTTTGATAAGCACTTGCTATGCATACACATTACATTTGCAGGTCTTCCAAAATCTTAATTTTAAAACTGATTTTAATCTTTTATCCTTCTGGCCTTCTTCGCTATCACTAACGGTGATAACACTTATGGATATCCCTGTTAGTCATATAATTATTCCATCCAGACTTCTGCAGTATATAGGGTAGAGAGGGCCTGCTGTGCATACCAAGAGCCTAACTAACACCTTTTTCTTACACACTTATATTTAATGTAGGATGAGGTAATGAGGTGTTGAAGTAATACTATTTCTTCCTCTGGTTAAGTGATTAATTTTTCTTTTTCTAGATTCATAGAGTGAAATATAAATTCATATACTTTGCTATACTTTTTTAAGCATTTAGTTCATTCCAAAGTGAGAACTGTCCTATATTAGTATGACCTTTTGAGAGATCTCATAGGAGTAATATTGATCAGTGACACAAGTTTTAGAAATAATGCACAGAAGCAGCCAGAATCTCAGCTGAAGTCTGTATAAATCTCATTTGTCTTTCAGTTGGAATGATGCTGATGTTGCAATACTTATGCAAAATGGGAAAGAACTTGGCTGCTTTCATATCTCTAAATTTAGTGTGTGGGTGGTCCAGAACAGTGAGGAGTTTATAACATCTCTATGTATTAATAAATCCATTTCATGTGTGAACCTCTGTAAACCTTTCGTCATCCATTAAAAATGTGACTCTGCTGTTGACAATAAGTCTCAGTAAAAACTGAAAGAAAGACTTATGGAAGACCTAGTACCCTTATTTCCTGTAACATGCAAGACACTGTAATTACGGGTCATTTGCCTGGTTTCTTTGGTAATTAAGATTTTTAATTGTGTCTAGTTCCAGGGAATTAGTTAAGCTTTTTATTATGCATATTGACTTCCATAATCATCGGCTCTTCTCGTACAGTAAGCTTAGTGACATCATGGAAGTCAATTAGGTCTTTCAAGGCAGAGCAGTGAAGTACATTCTTTTGTGTGAGCTGGATCAGAAAAGGTTTCTGAAAGGCCTTGGTAATGCTCTTCTGTGCAACATTTAAGCTTATTCTTCAAAAACCAAAGCCTGTCAGAGTTTCATTTATTGTCCTCAGAGTGCTTAAGATCATGAACTAAGCTATTGTTAAGAACAAAACCTATAGGCAGAGCCATGCTTCCATTCTAATAGCAATTGCACTAAGCTTTCCAGGATCAGCTGGTTACATATTTGTAGTTAGTAGTAGTGATAATTATCAATATTTGAAAGTATCACATTGCTCAAATTGGAATGCAGTGACTGTATGAAGGAAATGAGCACAAAAGAGATTCGTGTGATTTCTTTGGCTCACTAAAAATCATTAATTAAGTTTTACTTTATTACATGCAAGGTAGAAAGAACCTTTTAATTTCCTCTTGACAGACTCCAAGTTGCTGCTGACATGTTGAAAGGCAAGAATCAATATTTTAAAAAGAAAGGAAATCAGGAGAGGGTTCTTTCAGTTTTCCCTTTCCACAATCTTTGATAGATGGGTATATATAGGGTAGACATTTAATACATCTTGCAAATTTTTTTTCTTTGAATGTAATAAAGGTTTTGCAAGCTCCAACTTGGTTCCCATAAGCACAGCCAGAACAAACAGTGTGCAGCCCTTATGTTCTGCAGTGAAATAGTTGTGTGTTTGAGAACCTAAACAGTACAGTATGATATTGTATGTTCATAGAATCATAGACCATTCTAAGTTGGAAAGGCCTCACAAGGATCATCAACATCCAGCTCCTGGCCCTGCACAGGGTGGCCTCAGGAATCACACCATGTGTCTGAGAGTATTGATCAGTAGATGTGAGGAAAATTGCCCTAACCAGCCCAACATCTGTTTTCCATTACTAAAATTACTTGTGGCAGTGATTTTGGCATTAGTAGTAGTAGCAGTGCTAATAATATTGATAATAAATGCAGTATGAATTGGAGAAGTGTTAGAGACCATGTGTCCATATATATCAGAATTTTTCTGGTCCTTGGATGCCAAAAGTTGCTTTGGGTTATCCATGACCAAAAATTCAAATTGAATTTGCAGGTCATGGACAGGAAGAGACAGGAAAAGTTGCTTACTTATATAAATTAAGGAATGAGTTCTAGAAACATTATCTTTCATTATATAAAATTTCATACAATTTGATTTATATATATATATATATATCTTGTTTATTATACAATATTCTGACATTAAATTACAAAATCCACATTAATAATGTATGATTGTTTTTAACAACTTTGCTTCCAAACTGCAGTCTGGAATGATTGTGACTATTGTAAGGCATGACAGTTCTGACTTAAGTCTCTCTTCTCTAAATGAAACCTTCCAATATAATTGCTTGTTTTAGTTCTCATTATTCCTTTGGAAGAATTAAGCAAATATAATACAACTTTGACAGCACTCTTCTGATAAGTAGTGTCTATCTCCACTCATGCAAAGTCCTACTGTTGGCCTAGGTAGTTTAGTGTTCCCCATACCTTGTGTATGTAGGAAATGCTGTACGTGTGAGTGAAAGCAGTGCTTTTGCCATTTTGCAGGTTGTAAAGTTGGTTTGGAAAAGTTAAATTGCCTGCTTATAAAGGTATTTAGGCACTTGCTTAATTTTACTTTAAACTTGCTATTAGACACATCCCTATAAAAGCACTCAGGAACATCTGGATAACCAGTTTCTGGGATTTAAGTAAGTGTATTGATGTTTTTTGAATTGAAATTAATTAAAGGTTAATTACCATGCAGATGTTCAAACTGAGAGCTTTGCTCTTGTTCTAATTAGGGATGTCTAAGCCAAGAACAAAATTTAGTTTTCCTATTAAGTTTCATTCAGGATCATTTTGTCTTTTAAAACAAGCTATTAGAACTTCATTGTAACACTAATTTTTTCCCTCACCTACTTGTTTCTCAGTGTCTTGTGTTTGAAGATTCACCACAGGGAGTCAAAGGAGCCCTGGCAGCGGGAATGCAAGTGGTTATGATTCCAGATGAAAGATTAAATCCAGATCTTAAAAAGGAGGCAACGCTGGTGCTGAAGTCCATGGAAGATTTCCAACCAGAACTGTTTGGTTTACCAGCATATGATTGATGCCTAATACCTATGAACACGATCTTGACTGGAGATAAATTAAAAGTGAAATGAAATTTTATTTTGGTATTATGATTGTTTATCATCTTTTATTCTCTTCCTCAAAACTATAGCACAAAAATCCTGTTAACAGTCAGTCTTTTACACATTGCCTTTGATAAACTGTCTGGAATGTTTATGATTTGTCCTTTTAATAAATGGTAAATTAAAGCAGCATCTTTCTGTTGAGTGAATCCAGCCTTGTTCTATTCATGTCATAATGTTTTCTGGGAATATTATGGAACTATTTAGACAATTTATTGTGACTGCATTGGAAGCTTCTTGTTCTGTTTCCACTTGAATTACTTACTGTTTACATCTTAATCAGAAATCTTTTCTGGATTGCCTTTTATCCCATTAAAATGTTTTTGACACTATTATTGCTGTCAATGTGTTTATCCTTTTCCTTGTCTCATTGATGCCTTGGAGTGACTACTTAGAACAGAGGCTAGACAAAGTTAAGAGAATAAAGTGGGTGTTTATTAAAGGCCTTCAAACCTTGGGCAGTCTAAAGCCTCCCATAGGCTGCACCCAAGATGAACGGCAATCATGAGTTTTTCAGACAGACTCAGTTTGGTCTCTTTGCGTATCAGGAGAGAGCTGTCCAATTACAACTTCAGGTAATGAAGTCATATTCCCCCAGCTCACTCTCCCCCCACAATTCACTTTTGTTTATACTTTTTGGTGTGTGTGGCTGTAAGGTGTCCTTGGGCTCCAGGCCCAGAGGAATTGTTTTGTTTGACCACACTACTGCTAAATACTTAAGTTAAATACTAAATACAGTATTTAACACTTTATATGAAGTTTAGAGATATGCACTAATGCATCACAGGATTTGAAAAATATAAAGGCTAAAATCTTAAGGCATCACCATACTTGCCCATCTATTCCACTTGTATTGTGTTGTCTTTTTTCTTTCATTCTCCCTTTCTTTGCAACAGGGATTCTGTTGTACTTTCTGTGTTTTTTTGTTTTCTTCTAAGAGATTGAATGAAATGACTTCCAGACATTCCTTAAAATACTCATTATTTTGTAATTTTGTCATTATCTTTTCTGATATTTTGATTACCTGCTAGGAGGTATACAAGGTTATATGATCTTAGAATTCAGCCAAAATGCTTTGTATCTTGTTTCTTTCATTTCCTTATATCCTTCTTATAGTCCCTTCTCTTTCATTTTTGTGAAATAAATGTGTCCTGTCTCTGTGCTTCAATTCTGATAAAGTTATGGCCCTAACTTCTTTATCGAAATAGCTTTCTGTAGGCTGTTCTAATTTCCATTCTTAACTTGTCCTTGAGCCCTTGCTTTTCACCAATTTTCCTACAAAGAGTTTTGCAATATGTTTTAAAGTGCAGAAATTGCAGATTTGGTTTAGATAAAAAGTTAAAATTTATTTTTCTGGCTACCATAATTTCCATTAAATGTTAATATTGTCAGCTGTCCTTCTTACTTCTGTGTCCTTCTGGTATCTTGTCAGTACAAGGGTAAGGGTCTCTTTATAAAATGCTAGATACATAGACAGGTTTTGGTGGAGTCCACAATTACATGTGTGACATGATGGAAGCAATGTCTTTTACCTTGTCTAAAGAAAATTATGGTATTTATGTAGCTTTATGGCAGTTTTATAAAATGAATTGTATTCAGCGCTTAAATCCCTACATTTCTAATGAGTATCCATGAGGTATTTCACACTCTTGGTAAAATATCAAACTCTGTGAAGACAAGAGGCCTGAAATATTTTAAATCAGATAATTTCCATGTATTTTGAGAAGGCTGCTCTGACCTTGGGTTTTTTAATATGTGTTTATGTATGATCTTTGTCACAAAAAAATTTTCTAGTCATTACTGGTGTTTAACTTTTAGATTTAAGGGTGTTTTGTCAGGACAGAATTAATGAATTATGGACCCTTCAGTATTCATGGTGAATTTCTTTAGATTTTCTTCCTTCTGTATTTATAAAAACCTAAAAATTTACATTTTTTATGTAGACTGTTCTTATTTTATTTTACAGTACTCTGTTTGTACCTCAAGAACTTAAGGACATTTTATTATATATGGTCAGTCATATATGACCTAGATTATACCAGAACCTTTTTGACATAGAGTATAATGCTTACATAGAGTATGTATATACTACATGCTGTAGTATATATACTTGTACAGTATTTTCAGTGAAATGCTTTCCATTCTAAGGATCTGGAGACATTTTTTCAAAATAGAGTAATTATTGATTCCATGTAAGTATTCTCCATATTATGTTGCTTCTTTTGGCCATGGGTATTGCAGTCATAACAGTTTGTATAGTGACAACAACCTGTCCCATCCAACCTGAACTCCATTTCTGGTCTTCCCAAACAAGATAACAGAACTATTGCTGTATAATTCCTCCTTTGACATCTGTTACATAGCACAGAGTTTTACTGTAGAGCAATAATTCTGAGCTTTCAAGTGTAAAACAGGTTCCTGTTAGGATCCCCTTTATTCATAATTACTGAATTTCAACAAGGAAGTTACTATGTAGAAGAAGCTTTAATAAGCTGTAATTAGTAACTTCTTCAAAGTTTTGCATGTATTTAATTTAACTGGTGAGATTTGCAAAAAAATAGAAGTGAGACGTCTCATACTTTACTTTGAAGGAATTGTCATCAAAGTAATGAATTTTGTTTTTAAAAATGTAGATGCAATAAATATATCACTGACAAAATAGAATTACTTCAGCATGACCCCCTTGGTAAGATCATAAGCATAGTTCTAATTTAATAGCCTTATCTTTATGAAAATTAATAATCAGTAAAATACTGCTCCTTACCTCATCAGCAAATCCAATTGCATACAATTATTTTTCCATTTATTTAGTATCCCATCTGACAGTTGTCACTGAAATTATGCCCCTAAACTGAAATCTGTGAACCTGTGCCATATGTCATAACCTTCCCATCATTCTGGTAAAATTTATTCCATTTATTTATTCCATTCTTCTCTTTCAGCTTGTTGTTCACCAACTTCCTGGTCCCATGCTGAACCATTTACTGTTACTGAAGTAATTGTGACTGTTGTTGTTAGCTTTTCTCTTGACTGAATGAGAAATCAAAACACACGCAAAATTAAATCCTTCTTCTACAGTAGACCTAAAAATCCTGTCATCTCCATTATAAACAAGGGAGATATTCATGTCACCAGTAGATGACTGCAGCCTGTCTGATTAACCATGTACCAAGTATCAACATATGTTTGTATATATTTCTTTACCCAGTTTTTGGTTGGATTTGTGGCTCTGTAGCTTGATCATCTCAACAACATCTGTTCAGAAAAGAAAAAAAGAAAAAAAAGGATTAAAAACTTGGATACCCTCCCTTCCTTCCATCTGCTGCTTTCCAGATGAAGTCCTGTTCTGACTGAACTGAGAAAAATGCATACCAGATCCTGGCTACAGATCATGAGAACATGTGAGCAATCAGGACATTTGAATGTTCCATCTGTGTTTTTAGAAGAGGACTGCTAAAAATTAATCAAAAAAGTCTATCCTATAGCTCAGCAAGCAGACTTCAATCCCAGCAAATAGATAACACATGCTTAATTCATTTTTGTTAAGCAAAGAACAAGCACCAACTTAATTTTAAGGATACATTTAATTTTATTTGGCTTAATATAGAACATGTGCTTCAGGCATATTCTGAGAAGGATACCAACCTCCAGAAAATAAAGGCAAAAATTCACGACCAAGTTTTTGCCATTGTAAAATAAGATCAGCACAGCAAGATAGAACTAAATTCAGTCATGAAAATAAGTTATAAAAAAAAGAAAATAAAATAGACAGGTTTGTGATGTACAAACTATTGTACTGGAACTTTAAACTCCTTTCTACCTCACAAGTGAATTAGGATTTACATTTTACTGGAACTTCAATGGGATTAATTTTGGTAGAATTTCCAGGTTTCAAAAATCTACATAAATGGGGATTCATTGAATACATTCAAATAAAAATTCATTGCCTTGGAACAGGATTAATTTTAAAATGTAGTCTGACTTCCATGAAGCTTGACATTTGCCTTCTACAAATAAAGACGAGAAAAAGCTCAGATAGTCATTCCTCATTTGGATTAGATGCCTTTCTAAAGAATGCTATACTTAAACCAAAGAAACCTCTGCCCAGAATTGTTCATGTTGCATATATTCCAAGAAATGTCTTCAGTAGAATCCAAATTAGAAAAAAAATTCCAAGAAAAATCATAGTAAGAAAAAATGCAGTTATTTTCTACTACTTTAAAATTCATATGTGGCTTTAACAAATAGAGCATGAAACTTGAAATTTGCTGTTTTCTTGCTAGGTACTGGTTATCCATACAGATTTTATTTTTTTTTTTTAATCTAGATAAATTTAGACCAAAAACACTGGCTAGGCAGGAAATTCCACAATTCCACTGGCCATATCAAAAATTTGTTACTAATTTTTTAATATTAGAATAATGTTAAGCTGTTAAAAATATAGCAACCCTTTTTTTTTCCAATTAATTTGTTTCCATGCATTTGTTCGTAATTTAAGTTTGTATCATGGCTAAATGTACTGTGTTTTGGCACTGAGAAGGTAAGACTGCTTTTTTGTCAAACTAATGGAAATAAAGGGAAATAGTGGTATGGAGGAAAAGGAGTTCTCTCAGAACAGTTCTCTGTCCCAAGGGAAACATGACTGTCATCAACACTTTATGCTAACCTTCCCTTTAGCCAACAAATCTAGGTTGTGGATCTAATTGCCTCATTATGATGAAGGACAGAAGAAGGGCCAGGACTCAAACTAATAAGCTCAAATTAAAGCTCCTTCCAAGAGCCAAGGAAGCCAACTTCAGCAGGAGGGCTCACTGCATGTGCCAGTGGCTGTGTTTACATACCAGGTAGCTCAGTGTAAAAAAATATATATGTATATACTAGAGGGCAGGGGGCAGCATGAGAAAGTCTGTTGGTCTCTGCTCTTTAGCCCTTTGATTTATGGGCTCTAAGCCATCATATTCAGAATGTTAGGTGCTGGCTCACTCTGGTGATTAAAACAACTTCAGCAGAGAGAGAGAACATTCCAGCTCTCGCTTCTCTCTTTGTGGCCCTTTCCCCAGAATATCTGCAATATGAAACTGGAACATGAAATAGAACATTAACACAATCATTATTAATATCCAAAGTTCCTGTGATTTAAAAAGTAGCAGAGAGGGCATTATTTAGTGGAAAATAACAGAATGGTAGAAGAAGGGAGCTGGAGACCAGTACTTGACCCATGGTATAAACCATGCAGGACCTAGCACTCCAATGAAATAAAAGAAGAGAAACAGTAAAGTTGTCTTTAGAAAAACTGTAAAAGCAGTAATTATGATGGGAATTTTTTTTTGCA